GAGCGTGCGCCCTGAAGGACACGGTCCGCGCCATCATCAGAGACGAGCTGGACGAAGACTTCGAGAGAGTCTGCGAGGAGATCAGAGAGTCGCGCATCCACAGAGGTGAAACTCAGCCAGATGTTCACACCTCATCCAGCTGCTGCTAACAGTGTACTGTCAAACGTTATATTAAGACTTTTATTTTGGTGACAGCTCTGATGGTGGCCAACCCGCAGGAGGCCGATGGCGTCTGCAGCGCGGCGTTCTCCAGAAACACTCTCCAACGTAAGTTCACCCCTGAACTGAAACAGCAGAAATTAGTTTTATCTGGTGTTTTAAAAGAGGATCACGGGGGCGGCTCAGACGTCAGCAGCTGCGTCACAAAACCGTTAGAAATATGAGTGACGTGAGCGCAAACCAGCAGACATCACATCAGGTCTGATCACCGTCAGGGTCAGCGTGTTCACCAGTGAGCCGTCAACCACCCGTCAGGTTCTCCTCAGCCACTGTCAGCAGTGCTGATAAGCCCCGCCCCTACTTTTAATTGGTCCGTGAGAGAGAAGTGACAGTTGATGAGTGCACCAGTTTCACTTCCTGTTTCAGAGTCTGGACTCACGTACCAAACATTAGGACATCAGGCTGCTCCAAAAATATTCTTCAGAAGTTCTCAAAACTCAGCTGCTTTCACAAAATGCCAAAAAGGTGACATTTAAATCACAAAAACAGTCGATTTTATAAGATTGTAACCATCAAACTTTATAAAAAGTCATCTGTCAGCCAGCGAGCTGATTCTCCTCGTCTGTGGATCTACAGAAATGTGTTTTTCTTTGGGATCGCCTCCTCAGAGCAGCTTTTAGATCAAATGAGAGTAAAACAGAAGTCGTCATGTTAACGACGGATTCACAGACTCGCAGCAGGACTGACGCTCCGGGTTCGTCTCACGCTGTGAAACGTCTGATGAACAGGAAGCTTGGCGCTTCTTTCGGCTGCTGCAGCAAAAAGCTGCTTTAAAAACGTGTCAGTGAAAACGAAAGCAGCGAGAGCAGGAAGCCACAGTGTTTGCTCAAACGTGAGCGCCGCAGGGCAGGCGAGGACAGGAAGAGAGGA